AACAGCTACGGCACGACGGCCTTTGTGCGAAGCAAGCTCCTCCGGTATGGTCTATTACCCGCCACCACATTGGCCGTCACCCCTATCGCCGCCTATCTCCTAGCCAGCAATTTCTCCGGGTTACAGCAGACTATGGACAGCGCCACGGCCACTGGCGTCGCCTTTGCCGGCATCCTCGCCTATGTGGGATTCACAGGCTCCATCGGCCTGGTTGCGGTCATGACGGCAAACGACCACATGAAGCGGGTGTCGTGGGCTCCCGGCATGGTATTGCGGGAGCGGTGGATCAGAGAAGAAGAGAGGGCGGCGCTGGACAAGATAGCGTGTGCATGGGGATTCCAAGAGATATGGCGGCAGGGTGAGGAAGAGGGTGCGGACTGGGACGCCCTCCGCGAATATCTCGGCCAGAAGGGCATGATACTAGATCGCACTGAACTCATGGACGGCATGGAGTAGAACTGACAAAAAACTACGTTTTACCTTGTAATACTACGTGTAACCATTCCCAAAGTAAGTCTATGATGCATCTAGGATCCGTATATTTGATCTGGTAGTCTGTGCACATGTCGAGTATGACTTAGAAAAGCGTAGTATATGTAAGTTTTTCCACAACTATAAGACTGACCCTTAACTCGAGTCCCAAATAGATAGCGAATATCACATGTATCAATTCAGCTACCATCAACATAACCTTTTTCATCTCAATTAATAGCTATCAACCCACCTTTGACTCGTTAAGTAAGTAGTTCGACGTCCCCAATTTAGCTAGATTCGTGGGCCTATGGATATTAGCACAGATTGCGCCATCAGCCGCCATTAGCCGCGCATACTACCTACATACAGGCATCAGTACCAACAACTTCACTTTATTATTAAGCACAACATAAGACGACGCAGTTCCTCAGTCGTATCGGTGAAACGACAAAAGGCAATCGGATTCCACCATGGCATCCGAGGGAGAGACGAGGCCACTGCTGTCCGTCTCCCAAGAAGATAATGAACCCGTCGCCTCCCACCGCCGCAGCAGCGATGGTGTCATACCTCCCGCCGATGACGTCCCGGGGTCCTCGTCTCCCTCGTTCTCCAAGACGCTCGGCACGGCCGAGGCCTTCGCCATCGTCATCAGCATCGTGATCGGCAGCGGCATCTTCACGTCGCCCGGGTCCGTCGACACCAACGTGCCGTCGCCCGGCGCCGCGCTGCTCGTGTGGCTTGTCGGCGGCGCGCTCGCGTGGACGGGCGCGTCCACTATGGCTGAGCTTGGCACGGCGATTCCCGGGGAAGGTGAGACATCATCTATAAATATCCTCGCGTTGCGTGGGGGATTGATTGATTAATTGATTGATTTATTGGCTGACTAAGAGTTCAATTGGCTACTATCTAGGCGGCGTCCAGCCGTACCTGCGGTACATATTCGGCGACGTCTTCGGCTTCCTGGCAGCCTGGACATGGATCGTGGCCGTGATGCCTGCCACGCTGGCCATTTTGAGCATCGTCTTTGTCGAGAGCATTTACTCGGCCGCTGGTATCACCGACCAGGCGGATAGGATCGAGCACAAGCTGCTCTCCATCCTCATCTTGGCCGTCGTCAGCGTGGCGAATTGCATTAGCACGAAGACGAGCACGCGCTTGAATGGCTTCTTTGTGGTCACTAAGTTCACGACCATTGCTGCGATTGTGGTCGCGGGAATTGTGGTTGTTGTTATTCAGGCTACGCAGCCTCGTAGGGATGATGTTGGTGGGCGTGATTGGTTTACGAAGCCTGTGAGTAATTTGCATTCTTTCATTTTCTCTCATAGTCGGCTCCTGGGTTAAAAAAAAAAAAAAAAAAAAAAAAAAAAAAAAGAGTTGATTTGGATAGAGATGTACTCTAAAGACTCGCGAACGCTCCCTACGTCGTAGAGGTTTCACCTGAAAGAGATTACTAACAGCAAATATTGCAGTGGTTTGGAAACCGGCCGACCGTGAATCCTGATGGAAGCACCACCGATTGGGATCACATTAGCGAATGGGAGCTCCTTGGCCACTATTCCACAGCTCTTTACGGCGCCCTATGGGCCTACTCCGGATGGGATAAGGTGAGCATGCCATTAATCAAGAAAACGACAGCACCTGGCTAACATTGAAACAGGCGATCTACATCTCGGCTGAGCTCTCGGCCCCAGCCAAGCAACTCCCACTTGCCATCAACACCGCAGTCCCCACCATCATCTTCTGCTTCATCACGGCAAATGCGGCCTACTACATATTACTACCCTGGAATGTGGTATCAACGACTGACAGTGTCGCCGTGGTATGTCCAACCCCCTTCCTATCCGCATATAACACTCGCTAACGAAGAGACACAAGACGGCCATAACCCGCCTTCTGGGCCGGGGCTTCGGGATCGTGGCCGCTATTCTCATCTGCCTCGTGGTCGCGGGGTCTCTGCTCGGCAACTCCTTCGTAGCAGGCCGCATGGCCGTCGCAGCCGCGAACCAGGACTGGCTACCCCGCGTATTCGCGGCTCTGGGTCACGTCGGCGTCCAGAAACAACAACAACAAGCCTCCTCCTCCAACGATAACGACAACGAGGACGAGCACGAGGTAGAGGTATCAACAACAACCACCACCAGCGCCTCCGACGCCCCTATCAACGCCATCCTCCTATCCGCCGTGCTCGCGGCCCTGTACATCCTCCTCGGCAGCTTCCGCGCCCTGCTCACCTTCAACGGGCTGGGCGAGTACTCCTTCTTCTTCCTGACGGTGCTCGGCGCCGTCGTGCTGCGGTTCCGCGAGCCCGGCCTGCGTCGGCCGTACAAGCCTTTTATCCTTGTCCCGATCGTGTTCGCTGTCGTCAGCGGGTTTGTGGTAGTCAGGGGCGCTATCTTTGCCCCGCTGCTGGCTGCTGTGTTGGTTGTGCTCTGGGGTGTTGGGGGCGTGCTGTATTGGGGGAGGAGGGAGTTTGCTAGGAGACGGGGGGATTAGAGCTGTGGAAGAATTATTCACTTTTGATTCATAAACAGGAAGGAGATAGATATACCCCTTTGGGCTTTAGGGGCTATATAGGAATTGTAAATACTTAAGAGTTGACTACGACTTTTAAAATTAAGTCCTTGAAATAAGACCCCTAATACTTTCCAAGCCCTATGCATGTTGCCAGTCCATCGTGAACAATCTGGCCTCGGTAATATTTGATAATAGTATGGCTATCTGAGAATATATCGCGAGGCTACTATTCTTCCATGTTAGCTTCACTGTGTTAGATACTGTACAAGGACAAGGACAAGGACAAGTACAAGTACATCTAGGTACAACAGTAGGATTTTTCTGGAGATGTAATCACCCCAGTACACGTGATTTGCATGACCTCTACTAAGTTACTGCGTAGCGATTGTTACGGGGACCATGTGTCAGAAACCCTGTACGTGTGATAGATAGTTAGGTAACTCTTGTTACCGCGCGAAAAGTCTCTAAAACATGCTGGTGGAACCAGTCCTGCTCTATACACAGAAGCCCTTATGCATGTGTGCCTTGTGACAAGTTAGATCGCAGCCCATCCGTATTATGACCAAGAGATTTCATTAGCCTCAAGATGATTGGGCGATGCGTTGCATTCTACTATCTCATAGTCTACTCTCTTTTGAAATGTAGTTGGGGGAGGCTCCACGAAAACATAGCGCTGCAGATCGTGGGACCGGCCTACTGCATGCATGACGAGGTCACCCGCGATAACCGACGGTACATCACACGCCAAATCGTCCAGCGGCTAGCGATTATTCACGGTCATGCGTATGACGCAGAATTTGGGTAAAATTGACAGAAGATATGGAAAGATTGGATCTTCTGACCAGATACATTATAATTCATTTTACGTAAATCATTAGGTAAGTGATGCTGGGGACTTTTATAGAATGGGAACTCTGCTTCGTCTTGTTGTGACTGGATAATAGAAGTTTGTTAGTGTATCGGCACGTGTGCCTAATGTACATGCGCCTTGGGTATGCATAATTACTACCCAAGGAAACGTCAGACAGGCGGGTTTTCCCTTTTCTGATACAACGACAGAAACTACGATCATCTGAGTTCACATGATTTACCCTTCGGAGCGCTCCTAGTAATGTCATACTTCTCTACTGTTGGAACCTCGGATTCCACTCACTATATCGATGCGTCCAAGTAAGTATAATTTTACGCCCTGCGGACGGAGCAACAGATGGCTGCACTCGCGGGTCCAGCCAGACGCTAGCGTCCGGTATATGCCGAGCATGTGCCGCACTTCGGAACTCATTCGGCGGCGGTGGAGATAGTCATACGGGCCATCTATCTGCTTTAGAGGACGTCCTAGATGATTCATACCCTGGTCATGATCCGTTATCTCGACACCATGCAAGTCGGCCGACCTGGTTTAGACATGTGAAGCCCTATCTTGATAATTCTTCGGCTTATTGATTGGCTATTTATGCGGAATAAAGTCTACACAATGTATTTTTGCTCAAATTAGAGATGATATTTCGGCGTCTTATGACGGGCGTATCGTGGAACTGGATAATATCGACATAGGCTTACCTAATTAAAAGATGGATGGAAAGATGTGCTACACTGCACGGGAATGAATGCACTAGACTGTTTAGAACCGCTCAGGTGTTTCTAGATTGACTAACTTATCACCATGTTGGATGCATGTATTATCCCAAGCTATAGCATTGCCGACTACGTGGTCATAAGTTGTAAGAGGAGGCTTCCAAGCGCTGTCGCATACCTTGGGCATAGACGGCTCCGAGTTTGCGGTGCTTCGGAAGCCTGGAGACCAGGCAGATAATAACGTTACTAACAGAATACGGCCATGCAACGTTTGACCGATCGATCTAGGAATGCTACGTTTAAGTTGATGCAATATCGAATAGTGTAGTGTATGGAATAAAAAGATCCGTTTCTGGATCTTAGCACATTCGTTTTTCCTGAAAGTAGCCCCTATAATACGTAATAAGAGGTGTTGCTCCACAGCGTCGAATCACGTAGCCCGGCTGGCGTAATGGTAACGCGTGAGACTTCTAATCTCAAGATTGCGGGTTCGAGCCCCGCGTCGGGTTTTCTATATGTTTTATTTGGCGGATTTCCTTTTTTATTTTTATTATTATCATGTATACGTATGGGAAACTCCTTGCTTCATAGTTTTGGTGTTGCTCAGAGGTTGACAATGATGGTTGTTTTGTAGGCCGCTGTGGAAATCTTCATTTGGACCTAGTTTAGTTAGCTGTGTCTTGGCCCTTACCCCTTCATCATCAACCACAAAATAGCCAATCGTTGTAAAACATGAGATGATTGGTTTATATTCCAGCTATGATGTGGAATTACAAGTTTTATGCCATGTTAAACTTAGTTCACACGTTAACGTGTTTTACCGGAAAGCCAGTTTACCTTTCTCGCAGGAGATGTAAAAACAGCCGGTTGATAAACTCAATGTTTAATGTCGAATAAAGAAAGTGGGCTTAATAAGAGTAGATGTAGCTACTTAATTGAGAATTACGAGATGGTTGCGCAACTTAATCCTCTTATCTTACCTCACAATATACCTATTCTTAGACTTCGGTTAGAAATAGTGGAACCCATGCTGTTAGGTATTTCGAATCGATGTTTTATACTTTTGGCCACATTCTAGCCTTTATATTTAGACTGTGCGTTAGTAAATAGCACAATTCTTGCTACTAACTTTAAATGTGATCATTCCATGGGCTGTAGTTGGCAGTTGGGTACCGTGCGTTTTCATGTGCAGCTACCAAGACAAGGTAAGCCTATGGAAGTAGATGCGAAGTGAGAGCGGAATATGCGGGAACACCTCGAGAATGCCTAGTAGGTATCTAAATATTAAAGAAAGAGTTGAAATATTAAGGCCTCCAGTAATTCATTTATAGATACTCTACAGCTGCTCTTTAGTGCAGGAACTCTTACGCTTCATAGTTCTATAGTATTTTGACCCGAAACCTTATGCACTCCGGATTCTTTAGATTCCATTTTTAAAAAGAAGGAAATACAAAGCAGAGGGGTGTTTAAGATGTGGTGGGTGAGACTTTACACTTGTGATCCACGGGCCGGGACAATGTATCCCCACATCGAGCAGCCATAGGCGTTGCCAGACATCGTTCCCGAGTTTAACAATACTGATGAGGTGTGTTTTGTGCGTATTGTCGCTATGCGTGCGCAACAAATACGGAACACCGAGCTTTCAATATAATTCTCGCGCATCTCAAGGAAAATGGCCCACTTCATACGCATGACATGGACGAAAACGATGGTAATATCAATACTTTGATGAAATGGAGCGTACCCTGCGGCATGGTGAAGTCGCTGATGTTGCGATCGTCAATGTGTCGGAAAAGGGTCCTGTGCTATCTATCCGAATAATATTTTATCATTGACTTCCTACTTCAATCGTATTTCTTCCCCATTTGTCGAGCTGGGCTTGTATCAATAGGACGAATAATCTCCTGCGAACTGGTCCTTACCAGGAGACTCCGAATCTGGGTCGGCATTGCTTGTATTGACCCGAGTATCTCGGATTATAAATCACAAAGCACTGAGACGAAATAATTTGAAGATGCTGTGGTAAGCATAGATTAAGAACCTAGGTATGTAGGAAAATGAGAAACACGAGGGGTCCCTCAGTCAATACCGATTGCCGAACAGTTCCCAGCACCACACGCATAGGCCAGAAGGACCATTATAAGAATATTCAATGGCTTAAACCCCCAGATCGGCCGATGACAAAGTAGCCGCACAACACGAAGATAGCATAGTTGCATGTAACGGGCATTCACTCATCTTGGGTCAGCGGATCTTCGCCGCGCTCCATCCGCCACCGATTCGTCGCCTCTAACATGCCCGGAAACCCTTCCACCAACCACCCCCACTTCCTCAGAAACCCCTCGGACATCTCCCAACCTGTGATGTTCCAGGGCGGCGACCAGGCAATGATGCCGCGCCGCTCGACCTCATCATCGGGGAACCCCTCGTACAACCCGCCGATGCAATCGGCCCACAGCTCGTCCTCATCAAAAGTGCCGGCGGCCTGGATTAGGCGGTCTCGCCCCTCGGGAGACGGGAACAGGTCGATCCAGTCGCCGTGGGGCACCGTCTGTTGAAGGATGGTGGGTAGGAGTGTGGAAGGGAGGAGTTCAGGATTAGAAGGGTAGGGGACGACGTGGATTACTTCCTTGTCGCACTCGAGCGGCGTGGCGAGAATGCCTGAGATTAGAGTGCGGTTGACGGCCAGGGCGCGGAGGGCATTGAACTGGAGGAGGGTGATGAGGTGGTCTGGGCAGAGGGGGAATACGATGTTGAACTTCTCTTTTCTGGGTCTACCTGGCAGCAAGGGCCTTTTTGCATTGTATAGCTGCTTTGCACGGGATGATGGGACGATGGAGATGGATTGCCGTTCAATGTCCCAGCATTCCACTTCGGCTTCTGATTTGATCCGTGTCCCGACTGCCACGATGGATGCCCCGGCTTTCTTAGCTAGAGCTTTGCGTTTCCCTGCTAGAGTGTTAATTTCAATGATCTGGTAGTATTCTCACATCGGGCTTGCCCTGGTTCTTGATGCCTAACCCTTCATTTACACGACGGGGGGGAAACAAGTCCGTACTTACGGTACGCTCTCGTGTTGAGTCTAGTCTGTGCCCGCCTGCGTGCTGCGGCATCATTCGTTCCAGTCCAGTCATCTTCCCTAGTTATTGCCTACGCGCGGTGAGTAAGTCGCGCCGTCTTAGCGATTCGTGGTGCGTAATTACCTCCGCCAATTGTGGCATCGACGCTAGCTGGATGCGTGGCGCTGTTGAATTTGCGGGCTGATAAGTGCTAGACATTATGCCGGCGGCAGCTCAAATTGCGCCGATAATGATATTAGTGATGAATGTTGAGAATTTCTTCAGGCCGGCCAAAGCGGTTCATGCAGCCTGCTCACCATGATGACGTTCGACGCTCGGGAGCAAAGGAACTGACAATGACAATATCACGATACCTACTATTCTGAGGCGCAGATAGGCAAGGATAACTGAACTGGCACGATATCATTGGTCACTAATCCTTGAAGAGGTCTAGCGTCATGCAACCTGCTCACATTCGACCAGGATCATGAGTTTGGATTGGATACTAGCGCGACAGTCGTCAGTGTCGGACATCTCCTATCTCACCATGTCGTTGGCCAGGTTCCGTTTGACGATGCAAGCTGCTGACAACAATGATCCAATGCTCAGAATACAATCCAAGATGCTAGTATATCAAATACTATGGAAGAAGAGTACTATAGAGAAATATAAATATATCGTAGAAACCCCTCGGTTTCTACGCATCGATGCAATCCAACAAGACAGTGAATTAATATCTGTTTCCTGACATAACACATTTATATATTAACTAAAGTTATTACTTTTTAAACATGACTTTCCATCCCGACACTCTTCACGACCTCAAGGGCAAGGTATTCATTGTAACAGGTGGGAACTCCGGCATGTAGGTCCTTCCTCTCCCTTCTACCCTCTCACCAGAAGGCCGAATCACTAATCTTGCCATATCACAGAGGCTATTACACCGTTGCCCATCTAGCAGAACATGGCGCTCACGTGTACATGTGCGCCCGGTCTCCAAAGAAGGGTGCAGAAGCCATCGCCAAGATCAAGGAAACATATCCCTTAGCCAACATCGACCTCCTGCAAATGGATCTCATGGACCTCACTAGCGTGGTCGCGGCAGCTACACGCTTCCTCACCCTCGAAACGGCCTTACACGGCCTGATCAACAACGCAGGCATCATGGCGACGCCCTTTGAAATGACCAAAGACGGCCACGAGGCCCAATGGCAGACCAACTATCTCTCGCACTGGGCTTTGACGACTCACCTCCTTCCCCTGATGCTGCGGACCGCCAAGGCGCTTCCTCCTGGTAGTGTCCGCCTCGTCAACCTGACTTCATCTGGGCACTTGAGCGCACCTACGAACGGCATCAACTTCGACGATCTGTCGCTCAAGGATCGTGGCCCGTGGCTGCGGTACGGACAGAGCAAGCTCGCCAACATCCTGCACACCAAGACCCTGAACAAGACGTACGGCCCCGGCTCTCCCAGCGCGCGGAAAGGGGAGGGTGAGATCTGGGTTTCGTCCGTGCATCCGGGTCTAGTCGATACGAACCTTGCTACGACGCTGGGAGAGTCGGGGTCGGGCGCGACGACTGTTTTCTCGGTCCTGCGGACGCTGGGATTTTTCATGTCTGCCGACAAGGGGTCGTGGACTAGTTTGTTCTGTGCCGCGAGCAAGGATATGAAGGCGGAACAGAGCGGCACGTATTTTGAAATCTTCAGACGCTTTGGGGAGCCGAAATGGCAGAGCGGGCCGGCGAAAGATGAGAAGCTTGCAGAGAGGTTGGAGGGTTGGACTGGCGAGGTGATGCGGAAGGAAGGCTGGGTTCAGTAGATGGTACCAACTAGTTCTTCTTAATCCTACTTGTATAAATTAGCTAATATGGTCAATTACCTGCCCATACCGTTATTCCAGTATCTCTTCTATTAGTTAACCTAATCAAATATGACCATAACTGTCCCCTCCTCTTCCCCGATTCGCGCTATCAACACATGCAATACCCCCATCTTCTCAAGACAAAATGCTGCCGCCATATAGGCCGACTTCGTTATGAAATGGTTCAACGCCTAAATCCTAAGAGTTGCTCGTGTAGTATTTTGTGAGTGTCCTGGGGAAAAGTCTACTTGTGATGCCTCACTGTCGACTGGCACCTGGCATATTGTCCATAATCTCACACCCGACACAGATACGAGTTTCGAGCTATAATAGATACGAAGGAACCTGGGTTATTATAAACATAATGATGATGATACGATGTTGTTAACCTTAGTTAGACTACATTGGGAATACTTTAAATAAGGGTTTTGCTAGGGTTTCATTTGAATTATACTTTTATTCTAATTCGCTATTGGTTTCAGACTCATATAAGTTAAAGCCTATTAAAAAGTGTAAATTAATACGGTAATGGCTACATATACAGCGGCATGCAGTGGAGTATTAATGTAAGTGGTAATACCAGAGAC